TCATGATCTGAAGTGGTCTCCAGATGATGGTGCTACCCTTAGGAAGGTTCAGAAGCTTCAGAGGGGGCACTAGGCTGGAGAATATAGGCCGCTAGGGCTGGGCATTTTAGGGACATCATCCCTAACTGATTCATGTCTCACTCTTTATCCCTGACCAGCCATGGAATAAATCGCTTTCCTAAGCCACATTCTCCCAGTGCTGTGTTTTACCCAACCTCTCGGGTCCAAGCAGTGATGAATCTGAAACTGTGGGCTAAAGTAAAACCTTTCTCCCTTAAGCTGTCTCTGTAAGGAATTTGGTGAGAGGCATAAGAAAAGTAACTAATAAAAAGTTTGAAGTCGAATGGTGAATAAGTAGCCTGAAGTGGCCATCTCCTGTGGCCAGACTGGTTCCTGGCCTGATTGTCATCAGACTCTGCATATATGTGACAGTTGCATTCCTTAGCCGTCTTATGGGGCTCCTCCTAACAGCAGGAACAGGGGTGTCTCTGACTCTTTTACTGACTTTTGGGATCTTACTTCTTCCTCATCCTGGGTCACCTTGCCTAGCCTTAATAAATGAGGAGGTACATAATCCTACTACAAGTTGATAGGCCACTTTTTGTTGATACTCATAAGAGACCTGCCCTTTTCTGGATGGAGATGGAAGAGGAGGACACTGGGGAGTGGGAGGGAAGAATAGGGGAAAGAAACTGAGAGGGGAGGATGGGAGGAGGTTGTGGCCAGGATATAAAATAAATAAATGAACTTTTAAAGAAAAGAAAAAATGTTTCTAGTTGAAATTGGCTGTAAATGTTACATTTAAGTCCAAGTTTAAAGATTTAAAATAAAAAGAGTCTGGAAAACATCTGTGTATAACTTTCACATGTTGAAATGATAATATTTCAGAGTTCATGATTCAAAGAAACATTATTAATTTAATTATCTCTGGGTTTCACTAGAACTACTAAACATTCTAAGTAATATTATGTGTGTGTGTGTGTGTGTGTGTGTGTGTATCTTTTAAGCAATGCCAACCTGAACAACAAGTCACCTGGAACTAGAAGCTCTCTAACTGAACAAGACGGGATGAAAGAACTGGGAGATGACTCAGCAGGAAAGAACACTCACAGTACAAGCATAGGGACATGAGCTCAAACCTACAGCACCCTAGTACAACCCTGGCTATGACTCAGCATTGTGAGCAGGTAGGCAGACACAAGAGGACCACTGGGGCTTGATTGTAACCAGTCTAGATCCAGGTTCAATGAGAGACCCTGTCTCAGGGAACCAAAGTGGAGAGCAATGGGACAGCGTGCTCGAAGTTTTCTTCTGACCTTGGAGCATACACAGGTGTGTGCACATGATGTGGGATTCCCCTCTGTAAGCTGTGAGTATGCTTTATTACCACTGATTAATAAAGAAGCTACTTTGGCCTATGGCAGGGCAGAATAGAGCTGGGTGAGGAAAACTGAACTGGATTCAGGGGAAAAGAAGGCAGAGTCAGCAAGACACCATGTAGCTGCCAAAGGAGAAAGTCGCCAGAAACTTACTAATAGGTCACAGCCTCATGGTGATACATAGATTAATAGAAATGGATTAATTTAAGATGTAAGAGCTAGCTAGGAATACACCTAAGCTATTGGCCAAGCAGAATATAGTTTCTGTGTGATTATTTGGGTCTGGGCGGCCAGGAAACATAAGCATGATCTCCATTTATATGCACCCATGTACATAGGCATGCACCTAATATGTGTAAGACACAAAGGAATAAAAAAAAGAAGGGTTGAAAAAATTTCATTCATGTTAGGTTGGCTGGAAGTTTCCATGGACCTCAGGGCAGGAGCAACAGACCTTCCAAGACAACTGGGCATGAAAACCGTACACCCTGTGGCTCTCTAACCCCTTTCGTACTTGACCTATAGTATGAGGAATCAGTAAAAAGGCATGTGGCCAGTCATGGTGGCGCACTCCCTTGACCCCAGCACTAAGGAGGCAGGGGCAAGCATATCTATGTGAGTTCAAGGCCAGCCTGATGTACATAAAGAGTTCCAGAACAGTCGAGACAACTGGAGAGACCCTGTCTCAAAAGAGAGAGGGGGGGGGGAGGTGGAGGAGGGAGGGAGGTAAGGAGGAAGAGAGAGAGGGAGGAAGGGAGGGAGAAAATAAAAAAGAAAGGAGAAAGAAAGAGGCAGGTCTTGAGTCCACTGAGTTCAATACAAGTCCAGACACATCCTGCTGTGGCCATGAAAACCACAGAGACACCTTTCAGGTTTCCTGATCTAATTTACATAAGTTTTCCTGAATTACAGAACTACAGAATTTGCCTGGTTCGCGACAGTAACAACAAAAAGCCCCACCACGTACAGCATGGCCTCCTGGGACTACATAGGAAGAACAATCTCAGGAAAGGCTACACTTCCTGCTGGGGTGCTAGGAGACACTCCAGGAGCACTGAGGATTGTGACTGTCCTAGTTAGCGTCAGCTGTCAACTTGTCACAGCCCACTGTCAACTGGGAGAGTCCCCACCTCAGACTGGCACATGTGTGATAAGCTGTCTTCGCTGTTTATTGAAGTTAGTGGCTCAGTCCACTGTGGGCACTGCCATCCCTGGGCAAATGATCCAGGGCTGCACAAAGTGGCTGAGCAAATCAGAGAGCAAGCCAGAGGGCAGCATTCCGCCATGCTCCGAGCTCTACTTCCTCCGTGACTGACTTCCATCAGTGGTGGAAATAAATAGTATATTTTTAAATAAAAAGTATAAAGTACAATCTGAAATAAATCCTTTCCTCCACAAGTTGTTTTGGCCACGGTGTTTATTTGTGGAGGCAGAAAAGCAGACTGCAAAAAACAAAAAAAAAAAAAAGAAAAGAAAAGAAAAGCAGACTGCACCAGTGGCTTTAGCGTGGGGATGATGCACGCATACGGCCTCCTCAAGGGAGAAACCACAGATGAAGTGGGTGTCTCTCTAACTAACTCTAGTCTCCTGAGTCGCATTACCCTATAAAATCATAAGTGGTAGCAAAGACGTGTCTATACTAATGCACAATAAAGACTCCATTAAATCGAGAATATGGCTGAAACAAAATGCTAGCTATGTACGCCAGGGACAGAAAAGTCCCTTGCCACTAGCACATATGGCAGAGAGTGACATATTGATGAAGAATTCACCCCTATGTAATCCTAATTAAATAAGAACATTTAACTATATGGCAAAACACAGAACAGACATGAAATAACAAAAGCTGAATTAACTTTCTCTTTCTGTAACCTGGACCTCAGTCATGATAAGGGGACTCATATGGGTGTTATGGGCTGAAACTGACCATTTATCAGAATTTCCTACACAGTGTGACACAAAATAGAGACCCCTTTAAGATGTCAGTGTTATGGTAACTCATGATTATCAACCTGCGTGGATTTAGAGTCACCTAGGAGTCACACTTCTGAGTTTTCAAGTGAGAGAATTTCCAGAAACTTTTAAATGAGGTGGGAAGTGATACCCCAATGTAGTACTACTGGGGTGCCTTAATAAGCTGAATAAAAATAAGAAAACCAGCTAAGCACAAACCTGAATCACTCTGCTCGCTGACTGCAGAGAAAATGTGACCAGTTGGGTTGTATTACTGCCACCATGCTCCCCACACCTCCTGACAGACTGTGCCTTCAAACCATGACTCTTAAAAAGCCCTTCCTTAAGTTGTTTTCTGATATAGAATGTCACAACAACAAGAAAAGTAGCAAATACACTAAGTGTCCTCCAGTGTCCCTTTCTTACCCCCACCCCACCCTCTGTCATAGAAAGATGAAAAACAGCCAATGTCCTGAAGAGTTAACACTGTAGCTAACAGTGCTGTCTGTGATACAGTATCCTAAAGAGTTAACACTGTAGCTAACAGTGCTGTCTCAGGATGTAGGGTCCTGAGGAGTTAACACTGTAGCTAACAGTGCTGTCTCACAATGCAGGGTCCTGAGGAGTTAACACTGTAGCTAACAGTGCTGTCTGTGATACAGTATCCTAAAGAGTTAACACTGTAGCTAACAGTGCTGTCTGTGTGCAGGGTCCTGAGGAGTTAACACTGTAGCTAACAGTGCTGTCTCACAATGCAGGGTCCTGAGGAGTTAACACTGTAGCTAACAGTGCTGTCTGTGTGCAGGGTCCTGAGGAGTTAACACTGTAGCTAACAGTGCTGTCTGTGTGCAGGGTCCTGAGGAGTTAACACTGTAGTTAACAGTGCTGTCTGTGTGCAGGGTCCTGAGGAGTTAACACTGTAGCTAACAGTGCTGTCTCACAATGCAGGGTCCTGAGGAGTTAACACTGTAGCTAACAGTGCTGTCTCACAATGCAGGGTCCTGAGGAGTTAACACTGTAGCTAACAGTGCTGTCTGTGTGCAGGGTCCTGAGGAGTTAACACTGTAGCTAACAGTGCTGTCTGTGGAGCAGTGTCCTGAGGAGTTAACACTGTAGCTAACAGTGCTGTCTGTGTGCAGTGTCCTGAGGAGTTAACACTGTAGCTAACAGTGCTGTCTCAGGATGCAGGGTCCTGAGGAGTTAACACTGTAGCTAACAGTGCTGTCTGTGATACAGTATCCTAAAGAGTTAACACTGTAGCTAACAGTGCTGTCTGTGTGCAGGGTCCTGAGGAGTTAACACTGTAGCTAACAGTGCTGTCTCAGGATGCAGGGTCCTGAGGAGTTAACACTGTAGCTAACAGTGCTGTCTCACAATGCAGGGTCCTGAAGAGTTAACACTGTAGCTAACAGTGCTGTCTGTGATACAGTATCCTAAAGAGTTAACACTGTAGCTTACAGTGCTGTCTGTGTGCAGGGTCCTGAGGAGTTAACACTGTAGCTAACAGTGCTGTCTCACAATGCAGGGTCCTGAGGAGTTAACACTGTAGCTAACAGTGCTGTCTTGTGGGGCAGCTCACCAGTGGTAAGGAAGAAGGGCCGCCAATGCTAGGGTGGGGATGTGAGCTCAGGACAATGCCAGATGGATGTTCAGGAAGAAGATACAGAAAAAAAAATCTAACAGGGGAGACACCATAATCTAGAAGGTAGTTTTCCTAGGGCAAGGCTCATCCACTGCCCTTGAAATATGCTGACCCTTGTCATTTCCCCAAATGTGGGAAACTTGACCGCATAGTATGTGATAATAACAGACTGTCTAGGAGACTGAGCTGCGGGCTGGGTGTGGCAGCGTACACCTTTAATCCTAGTATTTGGGAAGCAGAGGCAGGTGGTCCTGTGAGTTTGAGGCCAGCCTGGTTTACAAGAGTTAGTTCCAGGACAGGCTCCAAAGCTACAGAGAAACCCTGTCTCGAAAAACCAGGGAAAAAAAAAAGAAGAAATAATTTTAAATTAATATGTTTGTGTTTTTACAAGAATTCTAAGCATTTCTTCTAAAAAGAAAGGGCTTCTCCCTTATTCGTTTCAAATAAATAATCTTTTTTTTAAAATCTCAAATATGCCCACTCTATTCCTTGGATATACTCACTACCACTACCTTAGTTCAGGCTTTCTGCATCGTCTATGAGTTCCTATTGTTCCCAACGGTCTTGTCTCCATTGGAGCTACTATAATAAATTATAGACTATAAACATGTTTCTCATAGTTCTAAATGGCACAAAGTCCATAGAAAGGTGAAGACTCAGAGACTTGTCTGAGCTGAGTTCCTCGCTGCAGGGGGATGCTTTCTTTCTCTGTCATCACCTGGAGAAAAAAACAGGAAGCAAGCTTCTGGGGTCTTCTTGGAAGGACACTAATCCCATCATTAAGACTCCAGCCTCATGACCTAACTGCCTCCAAAGGCCCAGCTCCTGAGAACATCCTAAGAAAGAGGTTCAAGTTTCAACACGTGCAGCTGCAATCACAGTCCTGTGTTCTAACAAGTTCCTTCTCCCCCTTTTCCTTCACTTCGATCCCTGCTCCACTCTGGACCAAGAGGAATCTTTCATAGTCGGTCAGTGTACTGCTGTCACAACGGCAGAGCTCCCTTTTTGGAGCATAGGCTAGAGCTCCAGGAAGACTTCAAGACCCAGTCCTGCCTAACTTCCTGTCCCATCACTTGAGAAGCGCTAATCCAAGAATCCCCTTCCTCATTCTCTACTCTTTACACTCCAGCTTAAAAAGTCACTTGTTCTTTAACATCCCAGTCTACTCATCTCTCTCTCCCCCACACCCAGGCAAACATGCGATGTTTTTCTCCCTCTGTGCCAATAGTGTCGCTCTATTGTGCACATGAACGATGCAGATGGACCCCGGGGTCGTGCGCATGCTTGGAAGTGCTTCACAGGCAGCTACACTAGAGCCTTGCCTATTCTCCTCAAATAAAATGTCGAATTTCAGAGAGCAGAGAATTTTTCTTTTAAACCCTCAAGGGCTCTCCACATTTTCTACAATAAAATGAACTTTCCAAATTTATTTATAGACAAGAAAAGAAGTGGAGGAAAGAGTAGACATTTGGCACTTTCTAGAAATGAAGCTTTGGGCACATTGCTCCTCTGTATGTCACTCACCCCATTTGCAAAACAGAAATTATAATGTCAGATCTTATTCATGTGGGACTGTCATAAGGGTGAGTGGGTTGAAAGAATGACCATAAAATTCTAATTCTGAATTAAGCCCAAAGTTATTCTATTTGTTTATATGTGTGTGTGTGTGTGTGTGTGTGTAAAAAAGATATATATCAAAATACATATATCGCAATATATATATTGGAAAAAGAGAGTTGGAAAATTTCTCTAAAGTTGTTATTCAAAAATATTTGTATTGAACAATGGTAAAAGATAAAGCATGCTATAATTCCAACTCTCCTCCCTTTATTAATAAATTTAGTCATATCAAAATGCAATAAAAGGAGTATAAAAGATTCCTAAAAAACATCCGAATTAGTATCAATCATCTTCCTTCCACAAAATGAGCATTTCCATTAAAATGATATTACATAAAACAATGTTAACATACAGAGATTCTCTAACTCTTGAGACCAACTAGCAAAAAGCAGACTTGACTAGTTTTCTTTTGTATATATTAGAAGTGGAAGAAAATAGGTCAGAAATTAGAAAATGCAAAATGGAAATAGTTACAAAATAAAATGCTTCCAAAAATGTACATTGTGAGTGCATATAATCAAAGAAGTAATGGTTACCAGTGCAAAGACACAAGAGTTAAGAGTGCAGAGACACAAGTGTCAAGAGTGTTAGGTTCATGGTAAAAGTCACATTAAGTGAGAGCTACAAAGACATGGAAAGCTCATACCTCCTAAAGAAAATGGGTTTCTCTAAGAAAAGGGAAAGGGAGGACTTGGAAAAGTGTGTGTGTGCACAGTCAAGTGCAGACACTATTCCTAAATATGACTACAGTGGTGGGAACAAGCAGTTTGAACTATAGAAACGCTGAGATAATAAGCTCCATTGTAAATATGTGGGGACACAAATATGTATTTTGATCATCACTATAAATTTCAGTGCAAAAAGGGAGGAGGGAAGGAAAGGGGGAGGAAAGAGGAGAAAAGCACATATGAGAACATGACACAGCTCTTCCAGAAAAGAGTGAGCACGTCGGAGCACAGACCACCAAGGTACAAGTTGGAAACTGACTTCCCTAATACAGGTGCCACACAGTGTCACTCATATACCTGTAAGTAACCCTGATAATACCCAAGTGTGCTAAGGAACTGGTTCTGTCAAGGAACCCCATAAGGTTAACAGTCACTGTTAAGAGTATTCCACAAACCAAAGATGTCACTGTGAAATGGCCCAGCAGGTAGACATGTTTTCATGCTGCCCTGATGACCTTAGGTCCATCCCCAGAAGCCACAAGATAACAGGCGAGAACCAGCTCCCAGCAGTTGCCCTCTGACCACCAAATGAATGTTGTGACATGGGTGTGCTTCTGCATACACATACACAAAAAAATAAGTAGATATAATAAATATAAAGTGATATATAAAACTTATAGAAAGAAGAGAAGGAAGGGAAGGAAGGGAAGGAAGAAAGGAAGGAAGGAAGGAAGGAAGGAAGGAAGGAAGGAAGGGCGAAAAAAAGTCCACAAAAGCTAAGGAGATGAAGATAGCTGAGGTGAAGAGACAAAGATCTTAGCATCCAAGCATGAAAATGGGAGTTCAGATGCTCAAAACCCACATAAACACTGGGTGAGTCCACCTATAGTTCCAGTGCTTATAAACCAGAGATAAGACACCTGAATCAAGCTAGTTAGTGAGGCTAATCATTTCATAAATCTCTAGGTTCAGTTCAGAGACCCTGCCTTGGTGAGTAAGATAAAGAACAATCAAGAAAGACCCCTGACATCAACTTCTGGCTTTCATGTTCACATGGATATACATACACTCACTTTTCAATGCATGTGGTTGTAGAGAATTTTCCTGAGATTAAAACCTTCCATATTGAAGGGCAACTTCATAAGCCATTGGATGTGGAAAGGGAGGTGATACAACAGAGCCTTCTAAGGGGAGGTAAAACACTGTTCTGTCTGGTCGCTCATTAACACAGAAAGTACACAACTCAAAATAGCTTCAGGAAGTCCCTGAAACTGACTGTATTCAATAGGTCCCTCCCTCTCGAAGAGTCCAGATCAGATTCTCAGCACAAAGGAGATTTATTTGCTCCAGAGAGACAAATGGCAGGGAATAAGAGACAAGGATAGGGGATAGAAGACATGAGAGAAAGGGAAGAGGACAAGGGAGATGGGTGAGACAGATGTGACCCATAGGTAAAAAGAGAAACCCTGTGTTAGAATGAGGTGTTTAATTTTGATTGGACAGGTTAATTAGGGCAGCCAAAGAGGGGATTGATTACTGGATTTCAATACTTTAATTGCTGACCTTGGTAGCTCAGGTGTTGGAAGTTGTCAAATAAGGGAACAGACCTCTGTGGGTAGCTTTTGGAATGTAATCTAATGGTTTTTAGTAAGGTTTAGGGAAGAGGAAAAGGCAAGGCCTTCCAGAGTTGTAGGCACCCAGCTCAAGCCAGCTACAAACGCTTCAGTAAAGACTGTTGAGAGTCACTCTTAGACAAGCTGAGCTGCCTAAGAACTCTCAGACCAGCCAAGCAGCCTGTAAAAATCCAACAAGACAAGTTGCCTGGGAAAGACTCAGGCCAACTCAGGCACCTGGGAAGGACACCCTCTGATCTGTTGATCCGTGTGCTCCAGGCTTGCAGCTGTGTGAGTTGTGGCACATGCTGGGGTGAGCTTTAGTGATGCAGCTGTCTTTGGGTCATTTCTGCTCCTGTCAGTAACTCCTGAAAGTAACCCCAATAAAACTCATTGGTTCACCAAGTTGCACTTTGGTGGCACCTACTTTGATCTGTCGTGTTTCCCTGTCTGGGGTGAGTAGATCTTTGCACACGCCTCCTCAGGAACTGCATCACATTTACCCACACATGTGAACATGCATATATGCACATCACATGTACATGTGGGAAGAAAGCAGAAAATCGACACGGCCACAAGTCACTGTCACATGTTCGCATGTCTGCCTCTTCCCCAGCCCCAGGTACTGTGTTTTAATAACTGGAGGAGGACAGACTAAGATGGGTTAAGTTCATCACGAGTAGACAAGGATGATCTTGAACTTCTGATCTTCCGGCCTTCAGTTCTCAAATGCTAGAACTACAGGTGTGAGCCACCAGCCTGGCTTGATACAGTACTAAGGATCCAGACCAGGGCTTCATGCATTTGAGGCCAACACTCTGAGGCAGAGCAGCTGAGTTTCTTCTCCAGCCCCAGGTACTGTGTTTTAATAACTGGAGGAGAACAGACCAAGATGGGTTAAGTTCATCGTATCACAGGCTTTGGCAGCAGACTCGGACCACAGATGGGCAGAGGCAAACCCCAGGGTGCAATGCTCCAAACGGGGATTGTAACAGAAAAATCAAAAGAACAGCTGTAGCTCCTTCAACATTATAGTTTTTAAAATTCTAAGCATGTGAAGAACCATAAAAATCACAAGTAGGCCCCTGGATCATAATAGATGAATAACGGATTTATAATCTTTAAAACGGCAAGGAGAATGGCTTACATTTGTACCACTTCCTCTTTTGATTACAATCATTGTCCCAGGAGCGAATTCGTGCTGTGCCTTCTCTGATTCTTTTTGCAATCCATCACCAGGAAACACCAGAAGGGTAGCGCTGCTGTAAATCTCAGAAAGACAATAA